TGTATAAAATTGTTAAAAGAACTGTCAGTCACAACACAACTGATACTTAAGCAATGGTCCATTAGGAATAAAACCACCTAGCTGGAGCAGAAATGACAGCCTGAGCCCTTGTGTGTCTTTTTTTTTGTTGGTTTTTTTTTTTTTTACTTTATTTTTAAAGACTGAAGACACAAACTCTGGTTTTAGTGACTCTTAGATTTGGAAATCTTTGTGGGAGCATGGCAGGGTATTTGAGGAAACCCTGCATTCTTGTTATCGGATGCATCTGGTATCAACAGCGTCCATCAAATATGAAGATTAGATAAGGACCAGAAGAAATAAAACGCAGTAAAAGAGGACATCTTACTGCACTGAATGTCCTGTGTCTGATACTCCATGAAGGCTTCTTGATAATCTCATTCTTTTGCAATAATATTATTTTTCACTGTTCCAATGCCAACGTAGTGCTACACCTTTCAAAGAAACAGATACAAGCTCTCTGTGTGAATACCTAAAAGGAGTGAACACAAAGACTTGACAGATAATTTAGGCTGACAGGTTTTCAGAAGCTGTAGTGATCAGCACATACAAGATATATAATAAAATATTCAAGGAACAGTAGGAATGGTCTTACTTAGTCTAGGCAAACATAAGGTTTGAGCTCAATATTTATAAACACCAGGAAGACACATGCTGTCTTGTTTCCCGTGATGTTGCTGGTATCAGTGTTTTGATAGGTATTTTTGACTAAGGAAAAGTATGCAAAAGCATGACAGTAGACTTTTAGAGACTAAGAGATTTAGGGATTAGCTGATGCACCAAAGAAAGATGTTCAAGAAAGAGTCAAAGAGGAAAACCCATTGCTCAGCATGGACAGTTGCCAGATTAGTTAATTTACAAACATTAATTTACAGACATTAAATCTGCTCTCCCTCAGAAGCCATTTGGTTAATCAGTATCAGAGCAGGGGGTCAGTGAGAACTTTCTTAACCTTATCAGACAAGCTGCTTTTATTGAAGGGAAACTGCCCCCAGTCTTTGTTTAAACCTATGTTTATTTAAGGCTGAAGCACCTTTTTTTTTTTTAGACTAGAGAGATAAAGCATCTTCTCCTGTCCCTAGCAGGCAACTACATGTGCTTCATTGAATGGTGATGAGGGTAAGAATTTGTGTGTTTCTTACTACATATAGGCATTTATAGAATCACCTTATGTTTCTGCTGAGGCTGACAACCTCACTGAGAGGACAATATGCTTGAGATCATCTCTAGTTTTTCCTGTCTATGCACAGTGACTAAAGTAACAGAACCTCTGTTCTTACCTTAGCTTCATATATGCCACTGCAGTGTAATCTATGGTTATTAGTACTAGCAGCAAAATATGATCTCCAGAAAATATACAGAAATGTTCAGCTCAAGTATATACTGTAAGAGTGAAAAGCAAGAAATAGAGGAAAGAAACAAACATATAAATTTCTACTGATTATCCCATTAAAATAATGACAAAATAGAAATCAGAAAATAATATTATGATTATGTTATGAGAAAAAAAGGCAGATAAATGAAAAATACCAATAGCTATCCTGGTTTGTTCATAAACATTTATATTGGAAATAGCCTACCTGGGGTTACCACTGGGAATCACAGAAATTCTTCAAGTACAATAAAACTCAGAGATTTTGTCTTAACCTCAAATCAAGCTGCAGGGTAACCTTTAAAAAGCAGGATAACATTTCTCAACCTATTATTTTTCATTCTGCCTGAATTTATGGATAAGACTAAAATACCCTTATAAAAGCTGTACTTGTGTATTTCCAGATCAGCTGGAAACAGAGAATCACAGGGAAAGCACGCTATTGTCAATTTTTCAGTTCAATGTAATGAAATTCAGGTAAGAAGGATAATCATCTAAATTACAGTGTTTTCTTACACTGTACTGAACAACCTGCTAATACAAATCATCATTATTTAGGCTATCATAATATAATTATACAAAAAATTAAAGTAATTTGAATTCTGTTAGTATCTGTTAATATTTTTATTGCTCATTATAGATGAAAAATGCATCAATTGTGGCCAAATATTGCCCTGTGATACTCACTGGAATAACACATGTATTTTTTTACGTACACACATACAGTAACAGACTACAGCTGGATCAGTGTGTGTACAGACCATACAAAAAAGAATAAAATAGAAAGCTATACTGGTTTCCCTGTAGTGGACAAGCAGAAGTAGGTTGAAACCCACTGCCTGCAATAAAGAAAAAAAAAAATCCACCTTCTTTTTTAATTCAAGTTCTAGAAGAGAAAACAGTACAGATCCAGAGAGCTGTGAATTAGGACAAACACAAGCCTAAAAATGATGTCTAAGCTTCAGCAAATTTGTCAAGTACTTTGATTGAGGTTGAGAATGAGTCCAAATGGGTATACAGGAAGCCATCATTTTTTTCATGAAGAATACGTGCTTTACTGTGCACACAAATTCTTCCTTCAGAAGGCTCTAAATTACAGTATTTATGGAATCTTAATGATCTAAACACAGTTGGAGCCTGAAGGTCAAGGCTGCAGACTGCATCCTAAATTTCTGTTTACAGATGAAGCATAGTATTTATTGCTGCACTGCTTGCGCTGCTATAGTTAAAGGGCTGCCAGCATTTCCATTATAAACCACTATTTCAGGGGTTTATAACTCGCCTGTCAATCTTCTGACTGGGATGAAACACAGCATACAAGGTCCTGGCTGCGAGACTGATTTTTTCGTTTGTTTTAGTTTATCAAATTACAAAAATAAAAGCCTAATGTGATACAAGGAAAAAAAAATTACATCAGTTTTTTTAAAGTACTTCTAGTGTTGCTGTGATACAATTACAGCTTCAGAACATAAAATCTATGTCTGTATCAATTAACAGAAGGACTTTGAATTCCTAAAAAGCAAAAAATAACTCAAATAAAGACATATCATTAGATGTTGGGGTTTTGTTTCTGGGAAGAAACTGTACTACAGGTTTTTAATGGCAAGAAAGTAAATCAGAAGTCCATCACTGTCCTCGATTCTGTCTGCATTAAAGGTAAATTTACACTACAGTTATACACCTTGGCACAGTACAAAGAATGCATTCTTTTAAAATAAGTGTCTAAATGATGATGATGCACAAGGTGTACTCTGCTATTACATACTCTAGTTGACATTAGGCAAAATAATTCAGAGTAACGTCAAATCAAATGTTTTTCCACAAACTACAGTAACCTTATCATCTACTACTAAACCTTGTATCAAATTTAATGAAATCGAGATGGGAAAAATTACAAAAATTTCACTTCTACACTATCAACTTTGCCAGGGTGAATACTGTGCCCTGCAGTGAAGTACTGTTGAGAGCAGGAAGGTGAAAAATTTAATCCACATATTTGCTGCATATCTAGCAATTACATCTTGTGAATAACAAACTTAATACCTCAAATAGTGCAAGAATTTAAATATTAGAATACCTCAAAAAACTTTCTTACTAGAACCCTAAGTTTTGGCAGAATTTATTTTTTTAAATACAGAACCGGGACACATTCTACAATGTGTGATTTTGATGCATACAGACACAGTACATTACACTGTTCAGTTTTATGGACCCTTTGCAACACTGTACCAGTTCAGACAAGAAAGACAGCAGTGCTAAATCTGGAATGTTAGACTTTATTTAATCACATTTTGATTTATTTTTTTTATATTATAAATCCAATCACAGCTGGGATGCCAATTAGTCCCTCCCCAAATATCACTGTTAAATTTTATTTATTATAGCTATAGGGATTTTTTTTGTCGGTTTTTTTTCTTAAAAGATGGCTGCATTTGTTTTATGCCATTCCTAATGCTTGGAATCTCTTCCTCTTGATGCTGTCACTTTCTGCTTTTCTTCCACAGTCTTTCTATATCACCTGTCTATTTTGTGCCCACTTGAAACAACCATTTGCACAAGACATTCGACAATTTTTCCCATCAATTGCAACAAAGTACCACTTTATTACATAAGTTTGGTTTGGTTGCACATACATTTATATTTCTAAATAACGCAGATGCTTCATTCAGTTCTGTGTCCTGGCCCCTGTCTGTCTCCTGTGTATGTATACTCCCAGTAGGCTTTGTGAAGTCAAATAGCCCACATACACCCTCGTTCAATAGCCCATTCAAAACATATCCTTGGGGTCAAGCTATGAAACACTACATCAATGGGCTGCAGTGCAGTGCTTTGGACTGTTTGTACTGAAGCACGTGCCCACACTTTACTACTTCTCCTGAACAGCCAGAGGGCCACTCATTATTCAGAGCAGGCTTCTCCAGTTCTTGCTTTTCTAATTTTTTTTAGGCTATTGTAAGTTTTTTGTTTCGTTTTTTTTTTAGAGGTATCTATGGTAAGAGATACAGACCTGTAGCCTTCTTTCTTAGAAAGTGGAAGATGGAATGATTATGACTTCTTAGAGTCAACCTGAATAGTGCAGCTGACTACATATTGGAGAATAATTCTAACCAGGATGTTATGAATGGTGACTGACAAATTCACTCCACTGTACTGCCTTGGACTGGTTGAAATGCACCCAAGAGCACTGCTATATAATTAATTATGTTAAATAATGCTACACAGTATCTTGTATAATTCTGAATCTTCAATGAACTGTAAAAAGTTTTAAATAAAATATAGATGGAGCTTGTCAAGCAGCATTAGACTTCAAATATTTTCTTCTTCTGAAAGCTTACTGTACTAACACAAGTATCTGTCATGCTGCTTGAGCTGCCATCACAATGTACATCTTGTTAGCAGTGATGTCATGACAGAAATGCTACAGTGCTGCATTTTAATGACTTCTTGTATTGTAATGAATTAACGTTTTTACAGAAAGGATGACATAGGAAACAAAAGTTTTAGTCTTGGGTCCTCAGATTTATGTTTTTAAAAAGCATGACAGTTTTGAAAACCAAGCAATGCGAGATTACTGCTTTTGCTCAAATGAAGAATGCATTGAGCACCATACCTGTAGAGTCCTGGAGGAGCTCGATGAATCAGGAAGCTTTTCTCCAGGCTTTGTAGCACATCATTGAGCATCCTCACTCTGATAGGAGCTCGCTCCTTTGGGTCATTAGCTGGGCGCATCTCATCAGATTGGAACAGTTCTGCGGTGTCCCTCAGACGTGATGCCACTGCAAGTAACTGAGGAATGTCTGCTTCATCACCTAGAAACAGTAAGAGCAAGACAGTTTCCAGTGATTCAGAGAACATCACTTATTACTCTAGCTTACAAGTCAAAATTAATAGTCCAATTAAAACCCAAGCTTCTTTTCCCTTGTGAGCATTATGTAATGAATTGAGGAAAGTCATAGATCATTGTGCATAATGATCTATATTTCAAATATGATCTGATCTATTTTTCAAAGATGATCAATTTGGGCTGTGATGTTTTAAGATCTAATAAGCTACGAGGAATTACTTGTAATTTTTATTCTGATTATATAAACAGTCTTAAATGTCAGCTACGCCTTTTCAATAGGGAAGGTGAGATGAAGGGAAAATATGTACTCTGTATTTGGAAATGAAGCCAACCACCAGACCACCCTTTTAAACATAAAAATCCTGTAAATCTCTCTCACTTCTTCTCCATAGCAAGTATTTTTCCCCTAAACCAATAGATTTTACTTTACAGTTCCAAGTAAAAAGCACTCTACATCACACTGTAAGCCAAAAACTCTTTATAAAACTAATAATCAAGCCCCTTTTTAATACTTAAGTACGAAACGTGAAAGTGTCTATGGCTAGTGTTACCACTGAGAGCTAAGGACTCAGCTTTGAGGCCATCAGTAGTTTTTACCGCAACATACTGAACTTCACTACTAAGGGCAACTGTGATTTACACTTTTCTCAAGTTGAGAAGCTGGGAGTGGAAGTGCAAATGATTCTTAAATAAAATAATGCTTTAACAATGTCTTAAACCAGCTTGTGATACTTCTACAGAGAAAATAAACTTGCAAGTGTTACTTCACTTGACCGCCACTTTATTGTATTTTGTATTCTTTGCCTTTTTGTCTCCAATATGAATCATGATGAATCATCTAAAATTGCTGTTTAGTTGTTAAATAAATAACATTGCAAGTACAAGAAAGTGACTCAAGTGTATGTATATTCTTGAACAGAGAATTACACTGTTGAATTTCATTACACTTGCTAAATGTAACTGGATTTTATTCAGAAACAGGTTTCTCCAAATAGATATTTATTTTTACAGACATTGAGTACAAAAGCTTTTCCTGTGTAACTGATTGCTCTTGTGAAAATTACTGCTCAAGAGTAACATTTTTAAATTGTGTTTGTGCCCTCTGGTATGAATGCACTTGCCTATGAGTACCTACAGGAGACTGAGCACAGACAAATCAGCAGCTGAAGGCATGACACTGGCTCACCATGCATGTGAACATGTGTTTTCATGTAAGAGAGAGAGAAAAGTGCTTCAGGTTTTGATTAGCTTGCAAATTCAGGATTAGCTACAGTGTGTTGCTGTATTCACTAGGAAGACTTTTCATGCTCTGCGAAATTGGATGATCAGGCCTGGCAGTGGAAAATCTGAATGGGAAAGCTTTGTAGAAAGTGCCCTAAAGGGGGCCGAAACATAAATCTGCAGACATGTATAGTGCAAAGAATATGTTGCCATCAGCTTCAATTTTGCTACCATGACAGCTACTGTCCAAGCAAACTAATCTGGTGTTGTTACAAGTCTCTTTTCAAAGAGATTATCATTAAAAAGGCATGTTGCAACATATTATTTTGCATGTCAATACAGAGTGAGCCTGGAGAAGAGAAGGCTCCAGGCAGACTTTACTGTCATCTTTCAATATTCAAAAAGGGCTTATAAGAAACATGGAGACAAACTTTTTAGCAGAGCCTGTTGCAATAGGACAAGGGGTAATGGTTTTCAACTAAAAGATGGGAGAATTAGACTAGATATAAGGAAAATATTTTTTACAAGGGTGGTAAAACACTGGAGCAGATTGCCCAAAGAGGTGGAAGATGCCCCACCCCTGGAAGTGTTCAAGGCCAGGTTGGACGGTGCTCTGAGCAACTTGTTCTGATTGAAGATGTCCCTGCTCATTGCAAGAAGGCTGGACCAGATGACCTTCAACAGTCCCTTCCAACCCAAACTATTCTATGATTCGATGAAGTTACTGATGACTTTGTACACAGCTGCTAAAACATATATGGCCTACTGATACAGAACAGATGTTCATCTTTTCCTTCAGCAGCAAATACTTTGTCTATGGAAAATGCATTTTTCCATGTTTGTTTGTTTTTCAAAGGGTGATGAAAGGTTTGCTAGTACTAACATATAACATCCTTGAAAGGATACTCAAGACAAGATGTCAGTGTCACATGGCAAAGAACATATTTCTGTCATACATGCAGACAACTAACTATTGCATTTTTCACCTCTGTAGCAGTCAAGAATAATGGGTGAGAACAGTAATGAGGGAACCTTCCTGAACAATGCAGACAGATGGGAAAGTAACTCTGAAAAGCACCCTAAAAGATCAGGGAAATGCGGTCAAGCAGGTAAAATGATGCCAAATGGAAGACTAGCAGACAGCTGTAGGCAATGACTATGCAGCCATCAAGTAAATGACAGCGAAATGTTTCTCTATTGATTTTTCTAAGGATGGAGAGTTTAGACGGATATTTTGAAATGTATGGGTTGTGCCAGGGCTGTGGAAAGTCATGCTGACTTTCCTGGAAATGGTTTCTCATAAACCAGATTATTTTTAGACTTCTGCCAGCACTGCCTACTATTATCACTCCAAGCACTACAGCTGCTGTAACATCTGTAAAACATCCATTCTGGGGAGAAGAAAGGGCCTAACTGATAGGAAGCAACACACAACTGACATCGTTCAGCCAAAAAGCTTTAAATTACAGCCCTTGTGCTCTGTGTACAGGGAAAACCAGAAAACCTCACCCACACTTAATTTGTCTTCATAGGCCTCTGTCGTGGGTTAAACCCAGCCAGTAACCCATCTCCATGCAGGCACTCATTCACCCCTCCCTTTCCCCCTGGGTGGGATGGGGAGGAGAAGTGAAAAAATGCAAACCCAGTGGGTTGAGATAAGAACAGTTTAATAACTGAAGTACAGTGTAATACTACTACTACTACTACTAATAAGAACAAGAAGGGAAATAACAAGGGGAGAAAACAAAACTAAAAGGGGAATGGAAGAAAACAAAAAACAATAAACAAGTGATGTACAATACAATTGCTCACCATCTGCTGACTGATACCCAGCCTGACCCGACCAGTGACCAGTTGCTTCCGGGTAACTCCCCCCAGTTTATATACCCAGCATGATGTGCTGCGGTGAGGAACACCCCTTTGCTTAGTTTGGGTCACATGTCCTGTCTCTGCTCTCTCCTGCTGCCTTGTGCCCCTCCTTGCTGGCAGAGCATGAGAGACTGAAAAGTCCTTGATTGTGGCAAGCACTCCTGAGCAACAACGAAAACATCGGTGTGTTACGAGTGTTGTTCTTAGACTAAAGCTGAAACACAGCACTGCACCAGCTACTAGAAAGAAAATGAACTCTATCCCAGCTGAAACCAGGACAGCCTCTCTCAGCTAGCACACATGAGAGATGCTTACAGTTCATCTAATTTGCTTACCAGCTACAGAAAACTTTGATGGCAGTTAAAAGTATCTTAGCACATTTGCCTGGTGCTACTCAGCTACAGTCTAAGGCTGGGGCAATAGGTATCAATTTCCGAAAGGTCTGCATGAGTCTAGGTGGGCCCAGGGATTTGTAATTATGAATGGTATCGACTCCTACAGCCAACAGCACTTAAGAGACAGACACAGCTAGTATCAAACCTGGTTACCTTTATTTTTGTAAATTGTGAGATTGAACTTGTTACTGCTGATTCAGGCAAGTGCAAAGGTACAGAAAGGCTTTTAATGAGACACTTGACACCTCCATCATCAATCCCTGAAGCCTGCTGTAAAACATACTAAATTTTGAAGAGGCTCTAATCCAGTGCAAGACAGGCTACAAGGAGCAAGTCCAGACTGCACAGTCCTATAAGCATTTAGTGTGTAGTATGTGTATGTTTTGAATAAAAATGCTTACATATAATCAAAATACTTGTATACAAATGCTTATACATTTGTACTTGCATATGCATACAAAATACTTCTCCTGAAGTGCTTAAAAGTACCATTTGTATCCTTGACACATCAGATTTGACATCTTGTCTGCACCCTACCTCAAAAGATAAATTGGGTTTTCATAGCATGCAAGGCCTAGTGAGATATTCTCGTATTTAATTCAAGTTGCAGCGGGTGTTGATTTTAAATGTATGAAAGGCTCAAACACTGCTCAACTGCCATGTGTAGATAATATTTCAAACTGTCTCCTATTTATGAATTTCTCTAAAATATCACATCTGTCATCAGAGAGATAACAGCCTGAATAGCCCTGGGGATCTGGATTTCAGTCTTGGAAGCCATCTCATATTATTTAGGACCATAAGGTTTACTATTAAACATCAGACCATGAGCAGATGCACAAAAAGTCTCTCCAGTCAGAATCCTTCTTTTCAAGTAAAACCAAAAGCAGTAGATTGTTTCCAAGAGTTCTGGTGTGTGCAAGAGAGAACACATGTTGCTTAATAGCCATGTTACATCTGTAACAGGAACAGGCCTCAAGACAGATGTAAACACGCTGTGGATGACATTGCCCTATAACCTGCCATCCAGCCTATCCTGAGTGTAATAAATGGTTTATAAAGTGCTGAGTAACATCCCATTGAATTTAACAGAGCTAACAATACAGACACCCACCACATCATGGAATTAAACCCTTTGGAAACATAAATAAATGCAGTATTAACACATATTAAGACACATGCATCCTTTGGTGAGGACATCCAGGAGACTGCAAAACTGTGACTCAAGTATTTACACAAATGATTTAACTTCAGGAATGTAAGAAAATCCAACAGGCATAAAACGTGTGTTTAAGTGATTGACCGAACCAGATCCAAGAGGCACAAAACTAAACCTAATGAAAAAAAACTTCTGGCATGTTGTGTGGATCTCCTTTCACCTTTTTTACATTTGCAGTTTCCACCGAGTTGGAGAAGGAAATAGTTTACTAAGACAATGCAATTTTGAACTGGAAATCTCAGACAATATAAAACCTTTTGAAGAATGAAGAAGTTCATGAACCATGTTAAAAAATATAAATTCTCTGTTAAGTAAACAGAAAAAAGACACTGTCTTACTGGTTTCCAAAATGACAATAAACTGTTATTTGACACAAGTCAGAGATAGACGAGACATGAAAGTCATGAGAAAAGTAATTAAATAAAACTCCAAAGTGAACAGCTGTGACAAAATATATCCTGTTGGCCCCACAGCCTAGAAAATAATTTTCCTTCCCTTGAAGTGGTTGAGGTAAATCATCTAACTGAAGTTAGAAGAAAAAAGTCAGTTTAAACCATTTCCTGTTACTCAAAAGAGCAAAAAGGAAAAACAATAGCAGGCATCTCATGTTCAGCTGAAGAAATACCAGCTGATCATCATTCCCTGCCGTGTTTAGGCTGAAATAAACCAATGTTTATATGGCACAACAGAGCTAAAGTTACTTGTGTTTTTGTATGCTCACTGTTTCCAAACCAATGCTAGCCTATGGACTCCCAGGTCTTGACAATGATGGATGGCAAAGATTAAAAAAAAAGGCATCATACTTTTATGAATGCGTATTACAGAAAAGTGATACTTTATACTGTAGGGAGAGTATGAAAGGCAGGGGAAGCCCCTCAAGATTGCAAAATATCTGTGAGATTGAGATACGATTTCACACTCTGCTAAACTATAAATAAAGTTTTGGTGTGATTTTATAGCACTTATATCTTTATTTCACAGATCAAATTCCATAGATTTATATATTGAAAAAATATTTTTGATAGGCATTAGCACACTGCAGGTAATGTGTATCAGAGACTTAATTGGAGATGAGGAAAATAACAACATGGTTTTATATATCATGTTTTTCTGCTATGCAACAAGAACGGGCTTTGGAGCAGTCTTTCAAATTTTATGGGGGTACTTGTCAGGGATGTACCTTTTAAGTTCACTGAATTCTAATGAGAATACTGGATTGTGAAATATCTCAGTTTGTACACATTAAAGGAATAACATTAGAGTTTGGCAGCTCAATTACCATCATATTTAATCTCCAAGGACTAAGCTTCTTATGAGCTCTCCACATCTGTCATACTTTCAACTAGTCACTTAGAAAGAGAAGAAGAGCTAGATACTACTTGTATACACTAAGATACTAGGAAACTAAGGAAAAAGGGACAGAATGGGAGGAGGAGGGCAGATGATACTGAAGGAGAAAGCTCTGGATGAGTGATACTGGACAATGTTAGAACCTAGACCTGCTTTACCTCCTTAATGCTCAGGACTGGAACTAAGACATATTCTTTTCATAATTGATTACAAGAAGGTTTATTGTTCTTTTGTAGTCTTGACAGTAGCAGAGGATGTATCACTTAACATGCAATGGGCTTAGCTCCTTATAACATATCAACATTTTTGTATCAACTGTAGGGAAAAAAAACCCAACAACCCAAAAATCTCCTGAAAGAAAACAAACCACAACAAAAAAAGAGGCCCCAGAAGCAAAGGGATGCTTGTTCTTTTATGAAGTCGTAGAAGGCTGCAAGGCAATGGAATGAGCCAGAAATGAGAAGCTAAAACAGGAATATTAGTAATACATCCACAATCTTGATGAAGCAGTCTTATATCAGGATATTCATTCTACACCTAGCAAACTGTGCCAAATCCAGAGCCTATGAGAATTACATCTGCATCATTTCCAAATTACCTGTAATTTCTGTTTACTTTCTGATTAGGAACTTTCAGGTCTGTCTCACTAAACCCACCCCCCTGTCCCAAAATTATGAAGATCAATTTCAAATAGTTTCCATGGTCTCAGTGCTTAATCAACTCAAACAATAAGTATTAGTAAATTAATATGCTTCATCATGCCTGAGAAAGGAGAAAGGTTAACATACCTTGCTAACAAGGTGAGTTAATGGAATGACCAGACAAGGAAGATGACTGTGAAAATTAAGGAGCCAAATGGCAACAGGATTAGAAACCTTCTCTTGCTTGTACTGAACAAAGCCTTGAAGGGAATTAAAATTAAGTTGTGACAGAGGTTGTTATCTTTGACTGTAATTATGAGATTTTTAATACTAATTACTGCTTAACTAGCAGAAGAAATATAACCTTTTTTTTTTTTTATTTAGTAACAAAACCTGTGTTTTATTTAACATAACATAATGACATTGGCAGAAAACACTGGCTACCATTCAAGTGGAAATTGAAAATCCATATCACGGAGTAAATGATCCCTTTTTTTTTTTTTCTTTTTCCTCAGTATGAATGTTAACGATATTCCTCTACCAAGAATTACCTTTAAGACCGTTCTGAACCTCTAACGCGATGTCGAGGGCATTAAACGGCAAAACTGGTTCATTGGCAATTTGCAAAGTCACTTGTCCTGTTAGCTGAAAAATAAAAAAAAAAAACAACAAACAGTCAAATAATTTCTAGCAGATTTAATAGCCAGCACTTCTTCTGGAGTAGCACATACTTTCATTATGTTGGATCTTCAGGGAAAATTAATAAAACCCCATAAACACATCTTTGTGAAAAAGAATATGACCTAGATCATTGTCTTTCTATTTCAACATTAAAAGATGTTAAGAGATTACAGTTTATGACCCCACACAAGAATTCTCTGCAGTACTATTTCTGTGGACCTAGGTTACTGCAGGAGTCTCTGAAGGGTCTTTTTTTGCCTTGTTGTCAAATAAAACCTTTCAACATTCTAAAAACAGGAGTAAGGTTTATTTACTTAGTTTTAGCTATGGGATTTTGAGAGTTCACCCAAGTAAAAATAAAAAGTAAAAAAATCATAGACATAAATGAGCTTCAGGTCAAGCCCATGGCTGAAGGTAAACTGACCTGAAAACCTAATGCCTTTGAAGAGATATTTGACAACATAATGCACACAGATGTACAGCTTCCAAACTGGACAGGACACTACCTTCTCTCAGTAACTTACAGAAAGAAATTCCCAAATGAGTGACAGGGAACTCTCAGTCTGCTCCAGACTAGACATTAACACCTGTCATGAAACTCAATGGCATGAATGCTTCTTTTCGACAGCTCCAGAGATGAGGCCAAGGACTGACTAGCCTGAGTGCTTTTTTTCACTTATAGAAGATTGGCTCTCCAGCTCAGGGCTTAGACATGCTACAGGGGCTGTGTATAGAAATATGTCTTTCTGCTGAACTATACCTAGCCTGTGATTAAACAGAGGATTTCAGTCTCTAGGCTGCCAAGTCCAGCACTGTTCATGGGAGCTATAAAAACACAGTGACAAAAACATGCAAGAAGCTTTCATTCATCTTCTTCATATCTTGAGATTGCAAAAGGGAAAAAATACCTGTAGGGCTGTGATCTAAAATGGAGTGATAGCTGCAGGTGATGATGATCGCGTTGATAAAAAACGTGTACTGAAAAAAACCATATTGTACAATACTTCCCAAGGTGTTGGGGGGGGGGGGTTTATAATAATATCTATTCTTCAAAAGCAATATGGTAGTTGCTATGTGAAAAGTAGCATTTTAATTTCACAATACAAAGTAGCAGGAAAAGACAGCAATCCTAAGGAATATTAAAAACAATACTACAGCAATTGAAAATGAAAACCATCTCCCAGGGAAGTGGATGAAAACAGGGTATAATATCTGAAATACGAGCTTCCTGGAGAAAGATTAACAGAACCCCAACAACATTTCTCAGAAAGTATTAAAGGAATGACCTGGACACAGACTTATTTGGGTACAGAGAATGAGGGAACATGCTGTATATCAGGCTGCAACCTACATCTGAGCAGGGACATACTGTGAAGCTATTGAGATTTACCTCTATAAAATACAATACTGAACAAGGCATGAAAAAAAACCAAACAAACCCTTATCATACATACAATGAGAAAAAAATAGAGAAGAATAATGATGTCAGGCTGTTATCAGGAAAACTAAAGAACTAAGAGTGTACTTGAAGGAAGACCGAAAAATACTGTTTGAACACCTGTGCTAAAATGTTACACTGCTAACCTCTCATGAAACTTTTCTCAAAAATTCCCAACTCCACAGGCCATTACTGCTTGAAGAGCACTGTGTTTTCTACCAGTGATTTTTCACAAACGTCTCTGGGTTGAAAATCATTGGAAAACATTTGGCTTAGTAATATAGAGAATATTCTTAGGAATATCAGAAATACAAAAAGTAGAATTGCGAGGGCAAAGACAAAGCTGTACAAAACTGTATCCAAACCAGGTTCACAGAATCCATTCATAAGCAACTGTGAAAAAAATGGTTCTAATCTTCCAAATGCCATGCAGAATCCCTCCTCTTCCTCCATGGAACTCTTCAAAGCTATAGCTGCCCAAAACACTAACAACCAATAAGTTGCTATGGAAACGCAATGTGGCAATGAAATAACATCCTATTAAAGAGAAGGCATTCTATATAGATCCCAAACTCACTGAATCCTAAATAGTACTATATATCACATGAAACATTCGAATTCTTCCCTGACACCTAATTTCTGCAAAAGCCTTCACTAAACAGTAATGCAAGAGACATAGTCAGAGATACATTTTAGGGAGGGACAAGAACATTTCTGCAGTGCTACTGATACTTTTCAATCTCTTACCACAAAATTTAAGAACACAAAAGTACGGAAAAAATGTTTCTTTCCTGAGGCATGAAAGTGGCATTATAGAGGAGAACACTCTAGTACACATCTTTCCTTTTCATCATTATCTTCGACAGAATCTGGCTTAATTTTTTTAAGTTCTGGCTTTATTTCCATTGCTTCCAAACCACTGTATTTTGCTTTGCCTACATAAGACCAAAGTTATTTTCTCTTTCCTATTCAAATAAAGTTATACTGTAAAATCTTATGACTAACTGAAACATTTTGGAAACTTTATAGTATCTCTGAATGTAATACTGCAGATATTTGTGCGTTAGTAAACAGGTAACAGCAGTGTTTATTAAATCATATACTTCCTAGTCTAATCTGGAAGAAATCAATCACATAAAGCAAAGCTCAGAGCATTGATCTGAACAGAGTAAATAATAATGCTGCAGAAGCATACATCAAGCCCACATAATGCAGCAAGACAGAAAAGGCTACTGATTTCTTATTTATAGTCTTATTTTTGGATATACCATTCCCCCGAGTACAACACTGAATATACAAGGAAAATAAAGACACGCTTCTGCCCCCTTTTCCCTGGTGAAAAATGGTCCAGACTTACTGTTGAATTACTAAAAGCAAGAATAACTTAGCAAGAGTAAAGACAACAATTTTCTCATAAAGTGAAACACTAAAGCAGAATAATGGATTTTATTCCCATACAGGACTCATTATATCCCCTAATGACAACTTCTCAAATAATTTATACATAATAATATATACACACCACACAAAAATGGATGTAAAATTTGTATAATCATGAAGACTAAAGAAAAAAAATAGTTCAAATGCTAATTAATTCTGAAATTCTTTTCTATAAAATTTAAATAAAAAAATGAATAATGTTTCTACTGCACTTGGGTTTACTTCAGTAAAGTAAAATGTATTTAATGAACTTCCAATTACTTTATAGATAAATATTAATATAAAGCATAATAATTGTAGAATTATACTGCAGTTCTTCACTATGAGGGCGGTGATGCCCTGGAACAGTTTGCCCAGAGAAGCTGTGGTTGCGCCATCCCTGGCAGTGTTCAAGGCCAGGTTGAACAGGGCTTTGAGCAACCTGCTCTAGTGGTAGATGTCCCTGCCTGTGGCTGGGGGGGTTGGAACCAGATGATCTTTAAGGTCCCTTCCAACCCAAACCATTCTATGATTCTATGTATATTGCAAAATAAATCTGAATATTCAAAATAGTTTTATACTGTGGTAACATTTTTTCAAGGTCTTTTAACTTAGAGCATATTATGCATATTTACTATTTCACTATTACTATTTAGTAGGCATGAAAATATTATGCATGACAGAGCTCAATCTGCTAGAATAAACATCAGCATACAGCGCGCAGGCAGTTTCTTTAACACAGAAGTTCACAGGCCAGTCTTTTTTTTTGTTGTGGTTTTTGATTTTCATTTTGCGTGTTTTTTTTTTTTAATTTTGTGGGTTTTTTATTTTTTAAATCTAGTGGAATTTGAAACTGTGTGCTACATGTAGCCCGCACACTAAGTAAACCTCTGTACTTCTGAGACATTTTTAGTGCTAAAATCTAGCCAGACATCTCAGATCTCTTCATATGCCATGTTACAAACAACATAACTTAAAAAAACAGGTAAAGCAACATGTTTATCCTTCTGTGAACACTGCTCTTCGATAGTGCTGTACTCCTGTTTTACCTCCTGGAATGAATTTTACACAAGTAATTGAAAACTGAATTGTGCAGTGGCAACTCCTTTTAATTTCAAGCATATATCTGTGCAACATACTTTTTCATCCTTCCTGCATTCTGTAATTTTCAGGGTTTAATATATAACTTTATTCTATGTATATTAACAATAGTTTACGCTACTGATACCTGTGCACTTTCAGTCAAAACTAGCATACATGTGGCAGTTAATCTATCAAAAACATGACAAATATTAGAAAGCAAATAATGTAACAGGGTAGTGTATTAGACCCATGTATATTCCCCACTACAGATTCAACAGAACTCTGCATAAGATGCCCTACTACAGACTCAAACAATCTTTGCAACTGATCAGCGTGTGACACTGAGCAACTAGTTTGAACCCTGAGCCTCAACTTCCTTTGACATCCAGCATTAGTTTTTTCAAGTCATATTTGCTCTCATACCTTGCACCTCTCCCTTCACACATTATCCATGCAGCTCATGGATGAGGAAAGAGCATGAAAAGATACTCTGCTGTTGAGGGTGATCAATAACAGTGTGTTGAAAATAATGTACCACTTTTTTTTTTTAAATCTTTTCTCTTGTAAAGGGGAATGAAAACGTTTTAACTTTTGTGGCTGGCTGCTGCACTGTCTAATCTCAGGTGTTCATCTCTTTGCATCAAGGGATCTGTCTTTCCATACATACTGACTAGAAGAACGACCTGCTGAGACCTTCTGACGTTAACCCAAACATCAACTATGGTTTCAGTGCAGGCACCCACATAAATAAGAAATAAAACTCTGCATGTATTAAGATCCCCATCTCAGTGCCATAACAGCAATCTCACATATCAGAATAATCAGTCTTCCCCAACCTCTCTGCCCTGCAAAATTAAATTGGCATTTTTGATGATATGGGCAAATTTCCTGAATTTGCTTTCTGCTGATTTCCTCCTGTCCCTCCTGACTTCCTTCAAGATGTCAATTTATTTTTTTTTAATTAAGCATGAGAAATTGAGTCATAAATGAAATCTGTGATTCCCTGGCAATAACATAATTTCAG